GATCGTATAGTGAGTTGACAACCTATTGAGCAAAAGACATAGAAATAATAATGTTTTGACTTTCTTAGAAAATATGAAATTGTAACTTTAAAATCATGACATTTTTAAAATGGCATATAAGAGAGTCAGCTATTTGCAGCAGTCATGCATCTGTCAAGTCAAGGGGGGAATTCGGTGTTTTAATGAAACTAGAGCACAATGTTTTAAGAGATACCTGAAGAATTTGATGATTTGGGTTTTTTTGTGTGAAAGCCTTAAAATATTTGTCTGTTGGTATAAATTTCACGACACATAATTTTGTAAATGGGTTTTATTGTATTATTAAAATTAAAATGTTATTTATTGCACACAATTTACAATTTGTCATGTTATAATAACGTAAGGAATTTACAGCTACAAATGTCTATGTGAAGTCAAACTTTGAGAGTAGGGAAAGAAGATGGGAATGCTATTGAGCCCCACCCTCCTATACATATTCAGTTTCATATTTATCCATCCATTTTGAAATGTGATTGTTTCATCCTTGTCAATCATTTTGTTAGCAATTTTATAAGCCCACATGGAAATGGGGTCGTTTATTGCTGTTGCCTCCGTCCATCCGTCCATCTGTCGTCCACACTTTCTTGTGAACACTCTACTGACTTTATTTATCATTAGATTGTTTTGAAATTGATATATGTTGTTAACATTACTGAGATGAAGAAGTCTATTTAATTTCAATAATTTCTGTTAATTTCAACTGGAGTTATGGCCCTTGTTTCACATTTTTGCCCCTTGTGAATCCTCTATAATGACAAAATATTTAATGCGATCTGTATGAAATTTATGTGCATCCTTTAAATTAGTGAAACGAAGAAGGCTACTAAATTTTAGCAATTTCCGTTAATTATAGCTAGAGTTATGCCCCTTGTTTGACTTTGTCGAACACTGTGAATGCTCTTACAACAAAAGTTATCATCTGTTCTGTATGAAAGATATATGCATCCTTTAAGCAATTTCCATTAATTAGTTATAGAGTTATGGCCCTTCTTTCACATTGTTGAACCTTATCCTCTGATCTGTATGAAATTTATATGCATCATTTAAATTAGTGAAACGAAGAAGCCTTTTGAATTTTGGATATGTCTGTTAATTGTGTCTGGAGTTATGACCCTTGTCGGCCTTGTTTCACCTGGTTGAAACATGTGAATTAGTGAGACGAAAGATCATATCAAATTTTAACAATTTTTGTAAATTACTTCCAGAGTTAAGACCCTTGTTTCAGTTTGTAGAACTTTATTTATATAAATTTATCTGTTGACATCAGTGAAATAAAAAAGCCTAATCGATTTTTATACGCCCACATTGAAATGTGGTCGTATATTGTCGTCGCCCCCGTCCGTCCGTCCGGCGTCCACAATTGCTTTTGGACGCTGTAGAGGCTAAAGTTAATATCCGATTGACTTTAAATTTACATACAGTGTTTAAGGCCATGAGATGAAGAAGCCTATTGATTTTCAGCGATTTTCGATAATTACTGCCAGAGTTATGGCCCTTGATCACTTCAAAAAATCTTGTGGACGCTCTAGAGGCCAAAGTTAATATCCGATTGACTTTAAATTAATATACACAGTGTTTAAGGTCATGAGACGAAGAAGCCTATTGATTTTCAGCGATTTCTGATAATTACTGCCAGAGTTATGGCTCTTGATCACTTCAAAAAAATCTTGTGGACGCTCTAGAGGCCAAAGTTAATATCCTATTGACTTTAAATTTATACACAGTGCTTAAGGTCATGAGACGAAGAATCCTATTGATTTTCAGCAATTTACGATAATTACTGCCAGAGTTATGGCCCTTGATCACTTTGAAAAATCTTGTGGACGCTCTAGAGTCTAAAGTTAATATCCGATTGACTTTAAATTTATACACAGTGTTTAAGGTCATGAGACGAAGAAGTCTATTGATTTTCAGCGATTTCTGATAATTACTGCCAGAGTTATGGCCCTTGATCACTTCAAAAAATCTTTTGCACGCTCTAGAGGCGAAAGTTAATATCCGATTGACTTTAAATTTATACACAGTGTTTAAGGTCATGAGACGAAGAAGCCTATTGATTTTCAGCGATTTCTGATAATTACTGCCAGAGTTATGGCCCTTGATCACTTCAAAAAACCTTGTGGATGCTCTAAAGGCTAAAGTTAATATCTGATTGACTTTAAATTTATAAACAGTGTTTGAGGTCATGAGGCGAAGAATCCTATTGATTTTCAAAGATTTCTTATAATTACTGCCAAAGTTATGGCCCTTGATCACTTTGAAAAATCTTGTGGACGCTCTAGAGGCCAAAGTTAATATCCGATTGACTTCAGATTGATACACAGAGTTTATGATCTTGAGACGAACAAGTATATTGATTTTCAATGAATTTTTATGACTTGGAACAGCTAAATTCATGATACAGTATTAAAAGTTTTGTATACAAAAAGTTAGCATGGGGCAGAACTTTATAAATACCTAACAAATTCTAATGGTTTTCTGAGTTGTTGCTCTTAATCAGATTTTAGTGTATTATAAATGTTTCATTACTGAAAAAAGTAAAAATATGCGACAACTCTTGTTGACTGCCCGGACGATTTAGCTGCTGTGGGCGTATGTTTTGTTGCCTGGCAACCTATCTTTTGAAATTTTGTGAATATTCTAGCATTCATTTAGATGTAAGAGCTTCTGAACATTTATGTAAATTTATCCTGTTGAATATCAACAATTTATGATAATTACCCGTGTTTACTTGCTCTAACATCAAAATTTGTCATGAGATCTGTTGATAATTTGTACAATGTAGACAGATTAATGAAATTAAAATATTTGTTGAATTTTATCAGTTTCGTCAATTACTGCCTGAATTATTGTCCTTTTAAACCTGATAAAATATTATGAATGCTGCTATAGTGACAGAAGTTTTCTTCTGATATTTATGTGTTTACTTCAGATTTAAAACAGTGAATAATTTTATAGAATTTTACGATTCCTGTTAATTATTTCAAGGGTTTTTACCCTGGCTCACTTTGTAGAATCTTGAAATTTATATATATTGTTGTGGTAAAAAAAATATCTTAAAAGATTTCCGTTCTTAACTTCTAGAGATATTTCACTTTGTAGAATCATGTGAACACTCCAGCAACAGATTTGATCTTTAGAAATGAAATGAAATGGGTATTAACATCCTACTGTTCTGACTGGGCTAATGAAGACGGGTTGAATGTACTGAATTTTGATTATTGTAATAAATTTACAACTATTTCCAATAATAAACTTTAAGAATTAGTATTCAGTTATGATGTCAGTGCTCTGATAATGATAGTATAATTATGGTTCTGCATTTAATTGACCAAAGATCCACAATGAGACCACTGTTATAGACTGCTCAGATGACTACGGTATATGTGGGAATGTGTTTCATTGCCTCGCAACCTACATAATCATAAAATAGATATTGTATATTTGATCCTAGAGGGCAATTAAATTTATTGTCCAAAAAAAAGGACAAAATTTGTGTAGTACATGGACTTAACTGCATGGGAATGTGTTTCCCAATGCAAAGTAGTTTTGAAACAAATAGCTTACTCTGCCTTGTGCATGACATCCACCACTATTATAGTAACCCATACTAAACACAGAATCATCAGTGTTGTTGAAATAGATCTCTGATTACAGAGGACACAGAAATTTTATATTTATCAAAAATTTCCAAATAAACTTGTCATGGAATGATTTGACAAGTTTGTAGTCATCATTGTGCTAAAATGACATTCATTCAGATTTCATACTTGATAAATGTTGGTATTGGGGCAAAGATGAATAATCAATAATTGCTCTTTTCAACAATACCAACATCCATTTTTTATTTGCCAATTGAAAGAAGCAAATATTTCAAACAATTTGGGAAGTTCTAACTTGAATTTTCTTAATCTATACCATGGGAAATTAACTGCGTTTTGAGCGTTTAAGAGTAAAAAATTGGTAGTTGGTGCAAGAAAGGTGTGAAGCTGCGTGATATTTTCATTAAAATGTTATCGCTGGTTTGACAATATGTCTGCAGTGGGCAGACGGATGTTGGTGTAAGATCTGAATGGCGCTTATATTGTTTACTTTTATTATCATTACATGAGATATGAACTGAGAAAATGTAGCCAGCATGTGTCGGAGTGTTTTAAATTTGTAAACATTATGTAATTTATGCTTTTGGAATTACACCCAAATCTTTGATAAAGTTAAGAGTGATCTTCTTTGCACAACTTTTCTTTCAGTAATTAGGAAATGATATGCTTGGTTTCAATAAGTCAATGAAAGTTTTGTATTAAAGATATAAGATAGGGTTTGTTGTACTGTTTTAAATTGACGCCTGCAAAAACTCTGCACATGCCGACCACGATGTTGTTTGTTTATTTTAGTATTCATGTTAAATAGATTACATCTTTTTAAATAGAATCAAAGATATATTGCTAATTGTTTTTCTTTATATCTTTTGATAAGAGAGAGAGTTCCTGGTTTTGAAAAAAAATTGTTTAAAGTGTATTTACTTATAAAATGAAAATATTTGGGTTGTCAATCATTGTCTAGTTTTCGTAAAAGAACCTTAAAACTTTTGTAGTAGGCCATTAGTGGTACCACTAGTAAACTATATTAAAGATCCTTTATAGCTGGAAGAATATTCAGCTGCTTTAGTTGATAAACAGTGATTGTTTTCCATAGATAATAGAACTGTTTCCTGTGTCGGTAAATGAATTTTGAAAAGATGGGATGATCCTAGTTACCTGCACTACAATATCCCGTCCACTTCCTCTTGGGATCCACTTATGATGTTCATAGGTTTGATTTTTCTAAAAAAAAAAAAACCCAAAAAACCCCGATATTTTCTTATTACTGACCTTAAGCAGCAAATTGAATCACTGCTCAGATTAAAATGTACTTTTGAATATAGAACAGACATATTAAAACAATTTGTGTTTTTGTTTCAGGATTAAATGGAGTAACGGAGAAATAAAAGATGTAATATTTGAACAACGACTTGGTAAGTTTCATTGAAATTAACCCTTTTCATTTGTTTCAGGTAATTTGAAATTTTCTACAAAATAATTAAGGGTGCATTCCTACTTTCCCCAGGGTACAAGGAACATTACATGAAGCATTCAGGAGCTCTGAGTTGAAAAGGTTAATGAAAAAATAATTGCAGTAATATGGATATGACTGTTAAGCTGGAAAGAAATAACCTCCAGTTCTTATACATTCTATTGGGTTTTGTTAGCCCATGAAACAAATTGCCCAATTGTGTGAACAAATATTTTTTTAATTGGATTGTAAACAAATTCCCATGCAATTACTGTTATGTTAGAGTTCTGTCAAATTATGACACGTGAAAGAGCCAGCTTTATTTTAGTAGATAAAATCCAAATACTGCCAATGACAATAATAATAGAAATCAATATATTTAATGATTGAAGATAAAAATGATCAATAGAGATATTATTGCCCATCGTTACTGAGTTATAAGTTATTAAATATAGAATGAAATGGAGAATTGAGGTAATTATCTCTTATTATCAATAGATGCCTACACATAAGCCAATCCATGGAGTCGAAAACAGCAGGCTAGCATTGTTATTTGGACAAAGCCCAATGAACGTTTTATTTTCTTATATTATTTTGTTGATATGCACAAGTATTAAATGTGAATATGAAAATTACATAGAATTGGCTATGACACACAAAGGGTGCATGCTTAAATGTTTTTGGACGAAAAGTCATAGGGGTATTATTGTAAAGCTGAGGGGTTTTCTTTTTTGCAAGACAGGCATTGTTGCATTTCCTGCTGGGGACAACAATAGAATAGGGGAAAATTATTGTCAACTGTCTGGGGTGTCAGGGATTGTGTATGAATTATGATGGTATGGATTGTTTGCAGGATATTGTTTAGTGAAAAGGTGTAATCTACCACAATTTATTCACATTATTGTTAGCTAAAATTTACTATTGTTATTTCAACTAGAAAATAGTCTGGGAAAGTGTATAGTTATATACAGGTAGATCTGTAGAATTAAACCCAATCCTATTTATTTCATTTACAGTCCACAAATTTCATGACATGGCTATTTCCTGCATTTTGTCTAATGCTTTTTTCCTACAGGTTTTCTCTATGTAAATAGAAAGAAAAAAAAATGATTTATTAACAGAAGTAAATAAAAATCAGTGTTAAATATATATATATTTTTTTTTTGCTATAGCAAGTTAACAAGAGGGTATAAAAAAATCTTTAAGTGTGGCATTTAAGTTAAGACGATACCTGAAACGAAAAATATAAACTAACGTAGTCAAGTCAAGACCGATAAATCAAACATTAGGAATTTTGTCTTCATTCAAAATTTAACAAAAGAAACCTAACCTGTATTTAAAATTTTACTTAAATACCAAATTATTGGACTTTAAATTAGAAGGGAAAAAATTGTGATGTTCGTATTATTTGCTGAACGAGCAATTAAATTTGTTTAATGTATGAATCAGAATATGAGTAATACACAGGTGTATGTTTACTTACTATATATCTACCTGACCTGAAATTTCCATTCATCGCTCCCAAATATCTATCCAGACACCTACAATCGCACTATGAAAATTTAACGCTACATAGGACACATAGTAAACTAATGTTGCTTTGCGTCATATAAGTTTTCATTCAAAGATTTTAATTTATTTTGACAAGCTTTTAACCAAACTTTATATGGAGCAATATGGCTTTTAATAAAAAAAAAAAAAATTTTTTTTGATTTTGTAGATATAAAATTTTTCATCTTTGACCCGCTATCATTATTTGACCTAGCAGGTCAGATATTTTTAATAAATGTTTCTATCTAGCCAACTTTATCTCTATTATCTCTATATCAATTATATAATATGATATTATTAGTTAACCTATTTTTTGGGGGGGAGGGGGGATTCATTAGTTTATCCAAACCATATATTGGGAAAAAAGAGCCTGTTAAATTAAAATAACACTTGACACAAACAGCAAAAAAAAAAAACATTCTCGAGGTGATGTAAAATTACCTTTGATTTATCAAATTAGGTTTCATGCAGTATTATTTTTGAAATATTGAAAATATGATTCGTCCTATAAAGTTAAAATGGATTTTTTCTTATAGAACTATATTGATTTAATGTATGATTACTTGAATGCTATCTGATCAGAGTTACTGTTACCAGTGTGCATAATTCTGTATGAAATAGAGATGTTATACTTTAGTTATAAAACGAGTCATATTATACAAATTCATCTTTTTTTCTTGACTTAATATAATTTTTTAGACTTGGTTTGAATAATTTTCTTTGATACTTTTTTGTACATTTGGACCCACCACTGGTCCATTGTTGTACACTGATGTCATATTACTTTATATATATATTGGGCTATGCAGGGGTTTTGTTATAGAAAATATAATAATACAAGAAAGACTGACCGAATAAATATATTTATAAGAAAATCTCATTTACGACCTTTTCACGGCAACATAATGGATTAAAATTAAATTCACTGAATTAGTTCTGTTGCCTTGACTATAATGTATTACTACTATTATTTTCACATAAAGAATTAAAGGGCGTCTTTTGGATCGCTTGAATTACACACTCTTTTCTGTGCACCTGCATCAAAATTCAGAATTTTTTAAAAAACAAAATTATAATGAATTATTATAGAAAATTTTATCGTGTAAGTAATTTAGTCAAATCTGTATATAATTGTATGTAGATTGAATTTGTATGTAAGAAAGAATGCAATTTGAGGTTCCTTTATTTTGTACTAATGTACTTGTTTATTACTGTTTGAAAAGAAGCGGAATTCATAAAAAGACCAGTACAAATTTATACATTAAGAAATTTTGTAAGAAAATGGACCTAGAATTCACATGAAATACAAAAAACAGAATTAAAAACCACCCAGAAAGTTAAAAATACACAGGAAAAAAAATTGGTATAAATTGAAGAGTTGATTTATTAGATAATTGCATGTCTCCATACTTGTATAATATAGTTTTAAAAAAATATTAAGATGATAAAATAGGCTGTGTTCTGTAAAAAGCACCCAGGGAATGCCAAGTTTAATATTTTTGTTGTTAGAATAAAATTATGGTAATTTAAAGAGTTGCCAAAAATTATGAATAATAGAAAAACACAATAATCTCGCTGGTTATGTTAATAATTGTAGAGGACAAATAGTGTCAAACTTTTCTCATGAAGATTATTTTCTGTATGAGTATGTGATGTCATGACACCAAGCGTTATGGCAAATATCATCAAAATAGCAGTAATAAATTGAACAATTGGCTAATTATTGAAAATTGAATATCTGAAAATAAGAGTTAAATTGAACAGGCTAATAGGGATAATAAACATAGAATTACAGCATTGTCTTCCAGATGTTCGACTCTTCGTGGTCCCATTACTAAAGAAAAGGTTTTACAATGGGCTCATTACAACCGTGTATGGGATGAATGGTAAGGTTTGAAAGGGGAGGTTATTTAACATTACTGTTAAAGTGTTTTGAACCGAACAATTCAGGTCAACTCTTGAAACTTGTCTTCATGAATGAAACAGGACTCATCTTATAAACTGATAAAGATGATGTTATCAGGTGTCGCCTTCTAGTCTAACGGTATTGTCACCCAACTCAGATCAAACATATATACACTTGTTTTGAAACCCTAGAAAATAGCCATAGTTTTCTTCTTGACATTCTTCAATACTGAATATATACATTTACATCTATATACTGCATTGAAATTTGTCTAAATATTTGAAGTTCTGGCATTTTTTTGTAGATTTTTTTCTATTTTGATAATGTAAAAAAGAGCAGTTATATGTTACATTTGTGAGACTGTAAAAAAGAAGTGACAGTTCGAATTCAGTATTTCTTTTAGAATTTTAATAGACTTTCATATCTATATCAAACAATTCAAGATTCTTTTTTCTTCATTCTTACAAAACAACATTTGTGACACAAGTAAGGAGAGAATAAATTGATACCATGTTATTGATGAATATTAAATCCTCCCAGTAAACACGCAACAATTTTTACCCCCCTATTTTAAGTTTTATGTAATATGTTTAAAATTATACATGACCCGCACCATAATTTTTAAAAATCTATTTTGAAGATAAAATTATCTTGTTTTTAATATGTTAGACTATAACAGCAATTTATTTTCTAATACAACTCTAAAAATATTATAAATATATAAAAAAAAATTGCCATTGTCATTGAGTCAATGATGCATTAAGAGGAAGAATACTATTATATTTGGTTAATTAAATAACTATTTTATGATAGATTAAATTTAGTGAACCATGGTTCTGCTCAAGCAATTATTGTTCACTTTAGTAACAATTTACATTTAACTTAACATCCTGTGTGGTAATAAAAAAGATGGGGGTTATCAAATATGGGAGGGAGGCAAGGAAGTAATGAAAATTAAGGCGAAAGTCCTTACCAATTTATTACAGGATCCAATTTTAATCAATTTGATATACAATTTTAAATTGAAAATGTGAGATCATTGTGGAGATGATGTCACATGAATTTCTAGTCCAGCCATACTGACGAATATAGATAGAAAAAAATACAGCCATTAATTAATATTGAGTTGAAGTATTTTATAACAGACAAACATGAGAATTGCTGGTGCCATTTAGAAAAATTTCATAAGCATAAATGTCTTATTATATTTCCATCTAAAAAAAGGCTATATTAGGAAAATGTTTCTAAATTCTCTGAGTGGGATTTGAGTGATATAGGAATCCCTTGCAAGCTAAAATATTGTAAAATTGAATCTCTAATAGGAATATCAATCAAAAATGGTGAAATTCCAGTAAGTATTTACAAATATATGATGAACTGCAATTCCATCGATCTACGCTGCTTCTATGTAAATGGTACACCGTCATCTTTACATTTTGCTAAATCTAATTGATAGAGTTGATATTTAGATTTTCTTTTCTTAATTAAAATGTTAAATAATCGATCTGAGTACATACAAGTCTGGATTAAGAGGTGAGAACTTTGATATTTTCCATATACAAATCATGCACACCTCTTACTCAATATTTTCCATAAAATTTGAAATTATAAACCTAAAATTCAATATTTTTCCATTTCAATCAATATTGATATAGTTATCGTGTTGTGAAAATATATGGTGCTAATATCCAATATTTGAAACATAATGAATATTTTAAAATCAGTATACGAGTCATGTATTTCTATGGTTTTGGGCGTCATTTGTAATAAACAACAAAAACATATCCTACAAGACAATGCAGAAGTAATTAGTAATGGCTGATTCACATACGTCAAAATAATAATAATTTAAAAAATGCATAGATTGGACTAAGCAGGCGTAAACGTCTGCTGCTCAATTTGGACTGTTCACATATTTCGCGGAACATAATTGATTAGAAATTACAATAAAAAAGATATAAATCACTTTATATACATTCATATTACATTAATATGTGCTTTTAAACCCATTTTCATCTATTTTAAGGTTCCAAAGAATAGAGCCATGTACCCTTTAATGCTCTAACTAAAAGATATTCAATAACAATGTCAATAAGTTTGTATTCAACTCCTCTGTGACATTTTTACATATGATGATAATATAAAATGGATGGTTCAGATAAGTATGGGGACATGGGTTATTTTCTCCGTCTGGAAATGGTTAAATTCTCAGAAGAAAAAAAAAATCTTATAGAAATTTGAAACAGGTTTTTAAGTGGATTGTTAGTTCGATAAATAAATTGTCCAAATATCTTATAAAATGGGTAAATAAATGATGGAATACAATTGTTTTTATCTTAGGTTTGTAAATATTATAACTTCCAGGTCGAGCGCAAGGTCCATGACATAACCAAGTTCGTATTGATGTGCTTGACCTCTTTGCTGCTGTCATTTGACCTTCTTTAAATTACAAATATAATGTTTCGGATTATAACAATGGATCCTTTGATTTGCAGTTGTATGTTTGTAAAAATACTACACTACTGTGTGTATAGGTACAATGTGTTGCGGACATTTCACGTCTGCTGTTTGTTAGATTGAAACAAATAATTCTTCCAGTCTTTGGAATTCTTTGTCATCCAGGCTAGATAGTCATTTCGGATAAAAAAAAATGATGATTAAATCAGATGAATTTGTAGTATTTTGAAATAAAATGAAATGAGTTTAACATCTTACTTTCCTAAACCAACTGGGATAATGAAGATGGAAGTGTGCTATGAGGGAAATACTGTTCAGGCTCTTGTTTCAATTGCCAGCTATCAGGAGTTCTTGAATGTGTTGCCAGTGGTATACATAGGACCCTACCGAAATGAATGTCTATTTTCCCTCTCAGGCCATCCATGCTTGCTACACAAATGACAAGGGAAACCAGATTGGAAAATCTTGGAAAGCTTTTTCAGTCAACATCGTGGTTAGTGAACTAGTGCCATTACACTTGAGCCCTGTGACTCCATAATTCCATACAATTTTGATGTGTATCATTAGTCAATAAGGAAAAATGACTATAGCAAAACTCTATAATGGTCTAAGTAATTTTATTTGATAATTTTTTCTAATTGTGTTAGAAAGAAAAAGACTTTCGCTTCTAAATGATAGCTAACTGGCTATTCTAATAAGATGTATTTGTGTCCCTAACTTTTCAGCTTTCTTCACTGGAGTAGAAAAGATTAAAATAATTATTTGCTTTTCATTATACAGTGAATGAACAGTGGGGTGATTTTGACAAATTAAATACTTAAGTTTTCTGAAGATATCAAAAGATACTGGCTCATAACTGTCAAGAGATCACATCCTTTTCAAACTCTGTGGTTTAGTTAAAAATGTGTTGTAAAAAAAGAGAAATGGAGACAAATCTAACAAAATCAGTTAAATTGTTTCAGCAAGCAAAATCTAAAGAAATGTTTTGAGAAAGAATTAGGAGATAAAGAATAGCTGAAATTTTATTGGCTAAAATGGTCAAAGCTTGCAGAAGTAGAAGAATTGAAAGGCTCAAAGTTTTTGTCCCTCACAGACATAGAAATAAACATCTAAATCCTTTGCATTGGTCTGTGTTTGTTTATGTATTGATCTGTGATTCGCCTGGCGTATCGACACAGCAACAATAGCGATACAAGCCTGTTTACCCACATGATGCCATCATAAAGACCTCCATTGTATTTTAGGGTGTTTGGTAAATAATTAAGTGCATGGTGTCAGCCAGTGTTTTCCTGCCTTCAATCTTAATATGAACAGTCTACATAGATCTCGTGTTTGTAAATACCTTTTACAACATGGCTTCGTTTACCTCCTCATGCTAAATATTTTCTTATTGGTTGAGATGGGTTTTCTGTAAACTTGTTCGCACATTGTAGCTATACTATTTGTATCATTCGCCTTGTTGGAAATTACATAAATTCTTGAACTTAGCTAATCAGTTTGCTATGTATCTATATCAGTTTAAGATTTTGTTTTGTTGTATGTTGATTAAGATTTAACAAGACATGCAAATGATATTTTAATGTTTAAGGATTCATTTCATTTTTTAAAAAAAAGGTTAAAAAGTTTATTTTTCCAATGCCCTTTAAAGTCTTTGAAGTTGATTCAGGAAAAATAGAGAGTAAAATTTTATTGTTACCATTACATAATAATTTTCACTAAGGTGGTCTGTAGTCATGGCACTAAGCTGATATATATGTGGTGCTGAAATGAAAAAAGAATTGAAAGTTTGTTGAAATATTATATTAAAACACAAGTGTAGCCTACATCATTGCATTAATCACTAAGAAGTGCTATTTGGAATATAGATCACTGCTAGAGACTGGCCTGATTTTCCAGTTGCATAGCTTACAGATATTTATGAAAGTAATAGTATATGATTGTGTTGAACAAAGTTAGCTTAGAAAATGATTTGTTAGTCTCAGTTAAACTGACTGGTTATGTCTCAAACAATCAATCCAGTTTAACTTTCTGTTAAAATACACTTCACTATACCTAAGTCCTTTTGATGGAGAATTGATTGATATGTTTTGACTTCAACTTACTTATATTGTAATGAAAGGGGGGGGGGCGAATGGTTAGCACATGCACGCTGTATCATAAGGTCTGTCATTGAGTTAACTGGTGTGATTGTATGTGACAAGGAGTAGGGTAGCCTGTCCAACCTCGTGGTTTTTCTCTGGGCCCTCCGGTTTCCTCCCACTGCTAAAGAAGCCTACGTGCAAGCGAATTATTGAAATAAAATTGAACCATGTGTTAGTCCCGAAATAACCTAGTTTATGTTGAGTGGACATTAAACCCTGTTTCTCTTTTTCTCAATATATATATATATATTGTAATGACTCAAATTTCTTTAAATATCTATTAATGTAATTAAATGAATATTCAAACAATTATTTGATAACTGATATGGAATGAATACAGTAAGAGTTATAAAAAATCAAAATAAACTTTATATTTTTGAATGTCAGAGCTAGAAATGTAATCAAGTCCAAGTGATGTGTCTGCTTTCCCTTTTAATAAGTCAGTTTTCACAATTAATTACACAATTAAGTATCATGAATAAAAACTGTTGACATATTACATAAAAATACATGGGTAGGTCTGACCCAAATAGTTTGTTTTTCAGTGAATCATTTCCGATGTAAGCATATAAGCGTTCAGTATATATGTACACTAGTAATAATATATAATATCTACTGTTGACTTTACCTGTGTTTTGTGACACCTGTAAAGGATGTAAAAAAAACATTTGATAAATTTCCTTATTCAAGCCAAAAAAATTTGTGAGTCACCCTACCTGTCTGACACCTTGACATGTAACAGAAGGAATGAAAGATTATAAAGCATGAAATTCTGTCTGTATTCCAGAATTTAGTACTTATAGAAAGTACTATTTCTCTTTAAGATTTTAAATGACATTACTGTTATAAAAAGTAAGTCTAGGCATCGACAAATGTGAAATAACATTGTATTTTAGTGCTAAAAGCCTAACTATGACTATACAGGTTATAAAATATGGCTAGAGCAACAAGGTTTTGTCAAGTGAAATGAATTTGTTTTTTGGTGCTAAAATCCTAACTATGTTGATAACATTTTGCCAGGGTAAAGGGGTTTCTATCCTCTCCTTCATAAATTCTCAATCTATCTTTGATGAAATTTAAACTTCAAATTTATAGAAAAAATTGACTTTCCTTATCCTGATAAATAACTAGACACATTTGCTGCCAATCCAGTTGATGTCTCTCCTGGAAATTCTTGCATCCGCCTACACAATTTAAACTCTGTATTTCTTATAATTGGTTGGAGATAATATGCAAACACATCTAGAAAAATCAGATAATATTCAAAAGGAAGTAATTTAAAATTTCACAATCCATGTACATAATCAGTTCTGGAAATAAGGGATTTAGTTGTACCTGACAAGATGTATGGAACTAGTGTCTGACATTTTGAAATTTGTGCCAGACATATATTTAAATCAATAAAAACACAGAAAAAATACATACCTGACAGTCAGTGTCAATGACCAGTGTCGTTTTTCCAGGCTTGTACATAATCCAGATTGTCAATATTAATGCTTATACATGATGTACTGGTTTCTTTCAGACACTGATAACAGAAATTATCTTTAAGGTTCCACTGATTTGTTGTAGAATTGGTAAGTTTTTTTAAACTTATATCTATTATCTTTCCTCATTAGCCCATTGAGTGCAGAAAAAAAGGATATTAAACCTCATTTCATTTTCTAAGTTTAGCAGTGTTTTTTTTTTTACACTGATCTGGTATTTCATTATTTATTACTTTACTAAAAAATATAATTATTACAATAATTCTACAACAAACTTATAATGACTAGATCTCTTTGAGTCAACAAAATAATTTCAATAGATTTTATATGTTGATTTCCTTTGTGGGATGACAATCTGTCTTTCTTTATCGATAAAGCCAGAGTTAAGATCTTACTGATGTTGTGTACATCTTGATCGTTTTAAACCAATGTGTAATATTACCAAATATCTTGCCCTATCACAAGTCAAATAACACATTTGATCAACTTAATTCAATTTTTATTTTGCCCAAATCAAATAGGTTTAGTTATAATAGACAGATTATAATAAAGGTTACTAACTTTGAAAAGTGAAACAAACTAAAATATACTAAAGCATTTATGAAATTCAGAGGCAGTGGGTAAAAATTCCCAAACTCTTGTTTGTTTTTATGGTTGATTCTTTGCATATCTATTCCTATTAAATGTCCATTCCCCCCATTTGTCAACTAAAGTATATGTGGGTTTGAAAAAGAAGGGTGGAGTTAATTTGTCTTGAATTTCATAGTGAAATAATCAGTCTGAGATTGAGAGAGAATAGAAATAGGAGGATAGTTATCATAAATCACCTGCATGTATTTAATATGATATCTAAGGTACATAAAAATGGAATGCAATACATATTTTCCGTGTTTGTTTGTTAGCTCAATAATGATGATCATCATCTGGTACAGATCAGATATACTTCTTACCACAGAACTTGTTTTTATCTCGACAGAAGGTCTATTTAAATGATAATCGAGATGTGAGACCACAAACTGACCTATGGCTTAAATATCTCATAAATATTACATATTACTTCTTTAAGACTGGAGAATGTGCTTCCTAGTAAATATACCTTGTTGTGTATCAGGAAATCATGTTATGATCTTACAAATATCTCCGCCCAATTCTAGTTTTACCATTGTACTTCAGTCAAACCTTCTTGAAATTATTAAGAAATATAATATAACCCATACATAGCAGTTGTAAATTCATACTATACATTTACTATAAAACATAAATATAGAAATTGTTGACATTTGGGATTTTATACTGAAATATGAACTTTTAGTTTTAGTTGACTTGTACTCTATTAATTTTAATTAATTTTGAGCTTATCTCGAGTTGGTGACAATTTTGACTGAGAGCACCCTGATGCGGTGAATCCTCTATCCTAAACAGTATAACGCTAACTGCCCCTTTAAGTTATATGATTGTTTATAAATTTTGTTTATAATTTTGTGTTTGTTTAAAGAGATCACACTCACTATGAGAATTATCGTTATCAATAAGCAAAACTCTCTTCACCAGTGTCGTCTGATAAGTTTCCCTCTGAAGGCAAGTCCCTGATTAACTTACTGATATTAAGATATGATATGATATCAGTTGGCGGATGGCCATATTGGTATGACCACCAAGATTAGAGATCGTCAACTTTTTATTCTAGATATTAAGAACTGATTACACAGACCTCTTATACCGTTGATCGTGATCGAATCGCATTCCGTTAGATTTACATGTAAATACAACAGATGATATTTCGACTTGTATGTTTGTTGTTTCTAGATTTTGTTTGTTTTGCTTTTGTCGAAAGAATTGGGTGAAATAGAGGCAAGTATTTGACATGATGTAATCAGCTAACTTTACTCTCCAGTTCAAACTATAATGTGCAGAGAGAGATCATATATATTGATATATCATGATTTTTATACCTTCTTCAGTTTGCCCAAGTTTTTTGCGTAAGAATTGATATCTTCATCAGATTAGAATTTTATCTGAATATCAGTCATTGTAAACATTCCCTTAAAGGCGCTAAATTGCTCATATTTGGGACCAAGAAATTGACACAAATGGGTCGCATTGCATATAATAATGTAATATGAATGTATATAAACTGATTTGCATTCAATCGTTTCCGTTTTTACCCTAATTTCAAATCAGTTATGTTCAGCGAAATACACCAGAAGTCTCAATCGAATATCAGTCTCTGGCGTCTGGTTATTCCAGTCTACACCGATAGTATTTATTGCACATGCTCTCCATATAAGAATACAACGTCACCGTTAGACATGACTTGTGAAATATGTCTAGCCTCATTCTTCAAGTCCCTTGTTACAAATCGTGCTGAAACGCATTATGGTACACGATTCGTGTACCAATTGTAAAATGTTTGATTTGTCTTAAATATTGGATTAGAGGCCCATCTTTTCCCAGTAAAATCACTATAATAATGTTGATTTAAATTGACAAATAATTCATGTTTTCAAGGTCAAAGATTTTGGATGATATTCAGTTGGAGACTTAGCTACATTAAATCAAATATTTGAAATATATACAAACATGGAATTTATTTGAAATAGTTACTTTTATCTTCCTGCCAGGAAAAGGAATTTAAAAGTTCTGAAGTTAATAACAAAAATAATAAAGCAAGAAGTTCTTGATATTAATACATTGAGATAAATGCAATCTTACAAGGTGCCTATGGAGATTACTTGACATGATGTGTTTGACCTCATGCTAAAACAACATATATTTGGAATTACAGCTTTTGCGGTTAATAAGTTATTGCCTACATGGAGAATTATCTTGTGAAAAGTGCACAGCTCTGTAGGTGTCCCCCTCTTTATATTATTCATTTATCCATTGATATTCATTGTCCGGCAAACTCACAATTTTTCAAAATAATGGAATTGAAAAATACAAGATTTCATATCATTATGCGAATTTCTAAAAGATTATGTTAATTAAGGCAGCTTGTGTGTCTATAAAAACAAAATGACGACCTGAGGAGAAGCGATGATTTTGCCCTTGAAGGTCCTCAATTCAGATTTTCTCCTGCAACTGGAATTCAATTTCATAGTTTGTTTAAGTCTGATGGGTTGGAATGAAATGAAAATGGTGTGAATATCTCTGAGATTATTTCTGTAATTTAAGCGATGTACATTAGAACCTGTTGGATGTAGATAATGCTATATGGGGAATGGTTGAAACTGTGTCCTGGTGGGTGGTAGGGATACTATTACACTCTGTGTCTTCTCTATTTACATGTTTATATATACAAGTTGTTGATATATTGGTAATGTAAGGCTTTAGACACTTATTCTAACACATGCCTTCAAATACTGAGAGAAATTGAAAGTTCTGATTTTAGAAAAACAAGGATAGTTAAGATTTGCAAATATTTACACTCTCAATATCTGATAAAACAGCTTAGATCATGAAAATTATTCATGGACCAATAAATGGTGGCTATGGCATAGTCATATAGTTTTGATCATTCCAGCCTATAGTGTCTATGTTTCACCTATAGCAAATATATTTTTGGCAATATAGTACTAAGTTTGTATACAGTGTTCAAGCTCGTGTGGAAATTTTCTTACGTCTTAGGATTTGTTAAGAGGAAAAATGACCTCTTGTGTTGTATTTGAAATCGCAAATTGTTGTATTTGACACTATTTTGAATAAGTCATTTCTGGAACTGTAAAATTGAACAGCTAGACTGTTAGTTATAATTATATACCATATATACACAATAGCTGCTATTTTGTCCAGACTAATATTTATACTGCTCAAGTCAATATAGACTGGATGGATCAAGACCATTGGAGAATTGGAAACTAAAAGTAGTCTGCATCATCAGGAATGGATTTGCAGATTTGTCTCCAATCTTTCAGTTGATCTGTTTCATTGGTATTTAGTAATAGAACTGGATACAGACAGGCAAAATTCCATAGAATACAATTATTGTTTATTTGTAAGCAATATTTTTGGCTTTCTAATTTGTTTTATTATGAATAGCCGTGAACTGGTTAAGGACAGTATATATACTATTTCTATAACTTCTGTGATTTGAGGCATTCTAGGGAGCAGTAGTTTCAATTTATTTCAAAAATGATCTACAAATCCCAATGTAAAATGCATCACCTTAATTCAGATTTTTTCAGGGAAAAGGAGTAGTTAATATTTACATGTACCAAGTGCTAAAGGATTAACAATGTAATAATATAGTTATAGATTACCCCCCCCCCCCCCACCCAAAAAAAACCCCCAAAAAACATATATCACTAACACTACTAATGGGTCATACCATCCAAGGGCTTGTTAAATTTTATGCATTTTTATGTATGTTGATAAGCGGAAATGGTTTAGTCAGGCCAGACAGTACCATTAAATTTAGGATTAAAACTGACATTTTTTTTTTAAGGAAGTACTTTATTATTTTTTAAGAATTGATTGTTTTAACAAAATTAAAACATTAAGTTACATAAAGACCTTCTTCGTATGATGTCACAGTACTCTATTGCAGTTTACTTTTATTTATAAACAAGTTAAATGGACATTAGTGCTTTTGAGATCTTTGATGTTTGTAAAACATTAATTTTGATTTGACTATTCATTTACATCTGATGTTTTCAAATTAGAAATAAATCTGTCAGTACTTTGCTCAGGGATAGACATATTAGCTTATCGATTTATGAGTCGTTGATATTTTGAAATGAAATGGGGTTTAACGTCCTACTGTTCTGCTCTGACTGGGCTAATGAAGACGGACATACACGACTCCAATGTATATTTTGTAGTTGTTGTCAAGGTGCTTAATGAAAACTAATGAAGGATATCTTACTCAGATCTTTTTGGTAACCCGAGGAGTATAAGGTTATTAATTATATTGTTCCTGAATGGATTACATTTCTTTTCTTGCGAAAAAATATACCCTAAAAAAAAATTTGTTTAAAGTTGATAGACTACCTTTGTCTCTTTAAAATAGAAATGTACAATTTTGTGATGGGTATACTAGACGTATGTAAACAGAAGCTAGATATGCAATTTAAACAAAAGATAAAGTGTGA